CCATCGGTAAATAAGGATTGTCCGTTGGTACCGATGGTGAAATGAATTTACCATCGGTAAATTTGAAAAGTCGTCGGTGAATGAGATAGTTAGCATTAGTGAGAGAGGCTAAGGTGGCCCACCAAAACACTGTCGGTTGGTACCGATGGTAAGGCAATTCACCATCGGTAAATAGAGATTGTCCATCGGTACCGATGGAGAAGTGAATTTACCATCGGTAAATAAGGATTGTCCGTCGGTACCGATGAAGAAATGAATTTACCATCGGTAAATTTGAAAAGTCCATCGGTGAATGAGATAGTTAGCATTATAGCGATGGCATAAGGTAGCCCTCCAAAACACTGTCCGTCGGTACCGATGGTAAAGCAATTCACCATCGGTAAATAAGGATTGTCCGTCGGTACCGATGGAGAAATGAATTTACCATCGGTAAATTTGAAAAGTCCGTCGGTGAATGAGATAGTTAGCATTATAGCGATGGCATAAGGTAGCCCTCCAAAACACTGTCCGTCGGTACCGTCAGTACCGATGGTAAAGCAATTCACCATCGTTAAATAAGGATTGTCCGTCGGTACCGATGGAGAAATGAATTTACCATCGGTAAATTTCAAAAGTCCGTTGGTGACTGAGATAGTTAGCATTATAGCGATGGCATAAGGTAGCCCTCCAAAACACTGTCCGTCGGTACCGATGGTAAGGCAATTCACCATCGGTAAATAAGGATTGTCCGTTGGTACCGATGGTGAAATGAATTTACCATCGGTAAATTTGAAAAGTCGTCGGTGAATGAGATAGTTAGCATTAGTGAGAGAGGCTAAGGTGGCCCACCAAAACACTGTCTGTCGGTACCGTCGGTACCGATGGTAAGGCAATTCACCATCGGTAAATAGAGATTGTCCATCGGTACCGATGGAGAAGTGAATTTACCATCGATAAATAAGGATTGTCCGTCGGTACCGATGAAGAAATGAATTTACCATCGGTAAATTTGAAAAGTCTGTCGGTGAATGAGATAGTTAGCATTATAGCGATGGCATAAGGTAGCCCTCCAAAACACTGTCCGTCGGTACCGTCGGTACCGATGGTAAAGCAATTCACCATCGGTAAATAAGGATTGTCCGTCGGTACCGATGGAGAAATGAATTTACCATCGGTAAATTTGAAAAGTCCGTCGGTGAATGAGATAGTTAGCATTATAGCGATGGCATAAGGTAGCCCTCCAAAACACTGTCCGTCGGTGCCAATGGTAAGGCAATCAACCATCGGTAAATAGGGATCGTCCATCGGTACCGATGGTAAGGCAATTCACCATCGGTAAATAAGGATTGTCCGTCGGTACCGATGGAGAAATGAATTCACCTTCATAAATTTGCAAAGTCTGTTGGTGAATGAGATAGTTAGCATTATAGTGATGGCATAAGGTAGCCCTCCAAAACACTGTCCGTCGGTACCGTCGGTGCCAATGGTAAGGCAATCAACCATCGGTAAATAGGGATTGTCCATTGGTACTGATGGTAAGGCAATTCACCATCGGTAAATAAGGATTGTCCGTCGGTACCGATGGAGAAATGAATTCACCTTCGTAAATTTGTAAAGTCCGTTGGTGAATGAGATAGTTAGCATTATAGTGATGGCATAAGGTAGCCCTCCAAAACACTGACCATCGGTACCGATGGTAAGGCAATTCACCATTGGTAAATAAGGATTGTCCGTTGGTACCGATGGAGAAATGAATTTACCATCGGTAAATTTGAAAAGTCCGTCGGTGAATGAGATAGTTAGCATTATAGCGATGGCATAAGGTAGCCCTCCAAAACACTGTCCGTCGGTGCCAATGGTAAGGCAATCAACCATCGGTAAATAGGGATCGTCCATCGGTACCGATGGTAAGGCAATTCACCATCGGTAAATAAGGATTGTCCGTCGGTACCGATGGAGAAATGAATTCACCTTCGTAAATTTGTAAAGTCCGTTGGTGAATGAGATAGTTAGCATTATAGTGATGGCATAAGGTAGCCCTCCAAAACACTGACCATCGGTACCGATGGTAAGGCAATTCACCATTGGTAAATAAGGATTGTCCGTTGGTACCGATGGAGAAATGAATTTACCATCGGTAAATTTGAAAAGTCCGTCGGTGAATGAGATAGTTAGCATTATAGCGATGGCATAAGGTAGCCCTCCAAAACACTGTCCGTCGGTGCCAATGGTAAGGCAATCAACCATCGGTAAATAGGGATCGTCCATCGGTACCGATGGTAAGGCAATTCACCATCGGTAAATAAGGATTGTCCGTCGGTACCGATGGAGAAATGAATTCACCTTCGTAAATTTGTAAAGTCCGTTGGTGAATGAGATAGTTAGCATTATAGTGATGGCATAAGGTAGCCCTCCAAAACACTGACCATCGGTACCGATGGTAAGGCAATTCACCATTGGTAAATAAGGATTGTCCGTTGGTACCGATGGTGAAATGAATTTACCATCGGTAAATTTGAAAAGTCCTTCGGTGAATGATGTGCAGGCTGTTATGAAACACCCAAGCTCTCTCTTGAGAACCTGGGTTCTAGGTTGAGTATCAGGTAGCCCTCAAAAACGTTGTCCGTCGGTACGGTCGGTACCGATGGTAAGGCAATTCACCTTCGGCCTTGGGCCGTTTTTAAGACCGAGAGAAATATTTCTCTATACGGACCGACCTACCGGTAAATAATAGTTTTATTTTTTTTAATTCCCCCCTCTAAATTTCCCCAACCTCCCCTCCCGCACGCGAATGAAGCTGCCAAATAAGGAAGTCACCTGACATGTTTATTTAAAAAATTCAACAACGAAACATTCTAAATACAAGCATTTTTCAAGCGAAAAAAATCGTTTAAATATATAAATATCCAATGGAAGTTTATTATAGAGGAATACCTCAAAAAGGTTATATTTAGTCCGAGTCACTGCCATCGCTCAAGATAACACGCCTTTTTTTGGCAAAAGTTGCTTCTGGAGCTCTGATCGGACTTTTGCTCGTGTTGAGAAAAAAGTTGAAATGACAGCCTTCGATCTTTTGAATTGTTGCCCCTGAAAACATGCCTTCGACTGCAGACTGGTTGGAGTAGGAAAGGTTTTGTTTTTGGAGACTGTATTGTGATTCATTTGGTTGAATTGGCGCTTGGTTTGTGGCAGAAGACGAGGCTCCTGAACGACTTAAAACGAACGACATTTTTCGCTGATGTGCTGTCAGTAGTCGTTATATATATACAATAAAAAAACAAGGGGGAGCGGGAACCAGAAAAATTTAACTGGAATTAGTATTACGCGAGAGTGCCTTGAAGGGCGTTGGCCATGGGTGTGGTGGGCTGTACGGACGGGGGGAGTTTTGGTGGTCATGTGACTTCAGGAATGTTGGTGTCCCGTCGCGCGCTCTGGAGGGTGTGGATTTTTGTTTTTTTGGGGGGGAGGGGCGCGCGCGCGTCGTTCTTACGAGAACGGGGGCTGGGGCGAGATGTTACTCCAAAGCCGCGGTCGACCGAACTGATTTGGATTTGAAGTTCGCGCTCTTTTATGTGCACGTGAGGGATACCTGTTTACGCTGGCGTAAGGTTGGTCGGACCTGTGAGGAGACATAGTAAATTTTAATTTGAACGATCATTTGCTTCTAGTATAAAAACGCGAAGCAAAAGATCGTTTAAACCAATCATTTACATGTAGTCTAGCTGATATGGAGTGTACAATGGAGTGTTCATGTGTTTGCGAAGACGGTGCTTGTGATTGCAAATGTGAGATATGTGAAATACTTCGTCAATTAGATAGTCAAATGAAGGAGATGAAGAGGCGCGGCGCACATCCCTGGTGTTATTACTTTATTTGGTGCTAAAACTTTATTGTTTTATGTGTACTGTGTGTAGTTTTTTATTTTTTAACAATTACACACAGTACACAAGAGATGTATAGAGTTATATACGCACAAAAATACCGTAATAATTGTGCAAGACAAGTAAGACGTAGATATATTCCAAGATGAAGCAGACGTATAATGTGGGCGCGTGTGTGTTGATCATATTCGACATCTATGGTGGCGGAATGGCAACGCGTTGGGGAATAAAAGTCCCAAGTCAAAGTGAGTTCGATTCTCACACTAAGATGATCGGTATTCTCACTATGCATGGCCCACTTCTTTTTTTCTTCTTTTGGATTTTAAATCAACCACAACAGTGTATTACATGTAGATTGTTTTTTCTGAAAATAGGAAATTCCGCGACCCATCTTGAGTTCTGAAATTTTACCCCCACTTCCGGTTGGTGACCTTGAGCTGTCAATCATTTTGTCGTTTTGTTAAATTCTTTATAGTATTTAACAAAACGACAAAATGATTGACAGCTCAAGGTCACCAACCGGAACTGCTACTTTTTTATTTATTTTACATAACGACAGTAATTTTATTATTGTTTATTTCTAATGTTGCTAAGGGTAATGTTTCGTCGAAAGCGATCCAAGAGAATCTATCCTTTACACAATCTTTTAGTAGTGGGTAAACTTTTAGACATGCATCTAGACCAAATAAGTTTACTATTCGTATAAGCTTGTAAGTACCTGAATAAATGCATACGCCTAACATACGATAAAGTAAAGTATCTTCCTCGATAATATTTTTAGAAGCTAATTGTTTAGCCATAGGTATTACGATTGTTGCCATATAATCTGAAAAATTTTCTTGCCCGTACGGAAAGGGTATACTTGTTTTCACTGTTAGAGTATTAAAGTATTCGTGGAAGGCATTTGTATCCCATAGTAAAGCATCGTAAATACTTTGAACAGACATATTTAAAGTGGTTGAAAATTCAATCATTTGTATTGCTAGTTCTCCAGATATTTGCTCCATTATAATATCTTTGCGCTCTACCGAACGAATAATAGCATTTTTTTCGACGGCCAAAAGCTGATTACCCAATCCTCGACTATCCGACACAGTGTAATAAATTTGTGTAAGAACGAGAAGTCTAGCTATTGTTTGACAATTTTCGATTTCTTCTTCTACAGCATGAATCTTTTTATTGGGTCCAATATCATGGGGATTAATACCCACTACGTTAATAGATTTCTCTTTGAGATATTGAAGTATTTGTAGATAGGTTTCGTTATCCATTTTTACTGTAAGACTTACGCGTCGAGGGTTTTTATAAATAGCATTGGGGTTTTGTCTACGTCGCGGTCCGACTTTTTTATAACACCCACGCATTTGAACTCGAAAAATGGGTTGAAAATATAAGTAAAATGATAATAAATGTAGTTTTTTGTATTTTATTTAAGAGAGCCCGTTTTGGTGTAAAGGGTTATTAGTGATCATGGCGTCTTTAACAAAGTGGGAAGAATGTGTTTTGCAGTATTTAGAGGGGAGAATTATTTGTTTAAAGAAAGACGAAGACGATAAGGAGGAAAAGATTGATATAGGCAAAATAGAGGAGTTGATGATTGAGCAAGGTCTCATACCCGATTTTGTGAAGGGCAACGATCATGTACATTATATTTTGTTACACCGTGTTCAGATAGAGTTTTTGAAAAAAGTGACCACCCCACCATCACCCCCCACAATACTACCCAGCGGTGCTGTGGCATTTGTAAAACATAGCACTTGTGTTGAGATGTCCGTAAATGGTTTATGGCGTAAAATACATGAATCATTGAAAAAATTCGAGGAAGATACCGGTGTAAGCTTTGAACATTA